TCTAGGGAGCCACTAATTAGATTCACGTTCACCTAGTTTTCCTGATTTACCTAATACTGCCCAACAAGGAAAATTAGGCTAAGGCTCTCAAATAGTCACTTGCACATCATCTCATTGTCATATTTTCAGTGGCTGACCCCTAAAACTCTTTCAACACTGCTAGTTCACATTTGAATATTCCACACACACACACCCAGCAAATCATTGCAATGAGTGTAGGGGTGAAAGCTGAATTCGATCTTAATTTAAGAAAATCAAAAAGGTAACCCCACTGACAAATAGGAATAAAATAAATTCCAGTCATATGAATTTACTTGCGATATGGAGTCTTTATGATGCTAAATGCCAAATAATTTCTTCTTCATGGGCTCTTTCTTGAAATGTCTTGCCTTCAAACATTAAAATATTTAGTAGTAGAGAGCAAAACAGTGAAAGCAAGCAAAGTTCTAAAGTGAGCAACTGCTATGATGAATTTATCCACCAAAAAAAAAGGGGATCACTAAAGTAGAGTAGTGTGGTTAAAAAGTGAAATCAAGGATGCATCAAACTCACATTGAACTGGAAACCAAATTCTCTGGTGAAAGAATGTGTTGTATTACATTTTTCAAAATTATAAAATTAGTGCTCACATAACGCTGACACATACAGCATTAGTGGCAGGCCATGGAAGTGCATTTAAAATCAGCGCTAACTGCAGTCCATTTTCCATCAGTTTGACTCTCATCCAGTGATAACCTAGTGCAGAAAGACAACATCGGCAAATCACGTCTCAGAAACAGGCTTGTTTGTTGCTGTTGTCATTGACTAATGTCTACGCTAAAGACATGTGAAAGCAATGATTCTCAAAGGGGCTATTTTGCCTCCCACAGGATATTTGGCAATGACAGGAGACAGTTTTGATTATCGCAGCCCAGGGAGCGCAGACGGGGGTATTACTGGCATCTAATGGGGAGAGGCCAGAGATGCTGCTCAGCATCCCACAACGCTCAGGACACCCCCCCCCCACCACCACCACCACCACCACAAAGAATTACCTGGGCCAAAATACAAATAATGCTGAGGTTAAGAAACTGCTTGAAAGTATCCCTCGTCAACATTTTACATGCACTTTTGTACAATATTTTTTCGATCAGAGGCATTTCTCAGTATTGTGTTTAACTTACAACTTATATTAAATAACTGATGTTTGTTTAATACGTACATATAAAATAGTCTTTCTTGGGTACTTACTTAGGAACATATAAGCATTAGGATTAGTGGCAAATTTCCTGAAGTTCATTGTGTAGGTAATTGTAGGTTATCATGCCAAGTACACTGTAGCTACACTCTCCCTATGCCACCTGGTGTGGAGACTGATTTGAGGAGGTAATAAATGTAGAGAGAAAATGTTACTGACCACCAAGCCTGAGACTAGGGTTAGACAAGCCAGCGCCCTAGGCACCGCACACTGAAGGAGGCGTCCCCAGGCCTGCACTTGAAGGAACCGAAGAGTAAGTGCCTCCTTCCTCTTTTTTTTTATTGTGGTAAAAGACACATAACATAAAATTCACCACTTTCAAGTACGGAATTCAGTGGTATTAGTTCATTCACAATGTTATGCAATCATCACCATTATCTAGTTCCAAAACACTGTCATCATTCTAAAAGGACATTCCATACCCATTAAGTAGTTACTCCAGATTTCTTTCCTTACCCCAGCCCCAGAGCATCCACTAATCTGATTTCTTTCTTTATAGGTTTGCCTATTCTGGACATTTCATAGATATGAAATTATATAGTGTGTGGCCTTTTGTGTCTGGCTTCTTTCACTTAGCATAATGTTCTTAAGATTCATCCATGTCGTAGCATGTATCAGTATGTACTTCCTGTTTGTGGCTGACTAGCATCCCATTATATGGATATTGTTTATCCAGTCATCAATTGATAGACATTTGTATTGTTTACATATATTGGCTACTGTGAATATTTTGGCTACTGTGAATAGCACTACTATGAACATTCATGTACGAGTTGTATGAACACCTGCTTTCATTTCTTTTGCGTATGTTGGCTAGGACTTGAAATTGATGGGTGACATGACAATTTTGTGTTTAACTTTTGAGTAACTTCCAGACTATTTCCCATAGCATCTGCACCATTTTACATTCTTACCAGCAATGTATGAAGGTCTCCATTTCTCTGAAATTCTCCCTTGTTATTTTTTTATTTTTGGAATTGCAAACACCCTAATGGGTGTGAAATGATATCTCATTGTAAGCTTGATTTGCATTTCCCGAATGACTAATGACATTGAGGATCTTTCATGTGCTTATTGGCCACTAGTGCCTCCTTAAATTTTGCACCCTACACAATCTCCCCTGCTCCATCCTTATTCCGACCCTGCTGACCAACACCTGATACAAAATACAAGGTGTCTCATAAACATGGTGGAGTGAAACGGTAAGTCACATTGTTCTGTGTTCAAATACCACTTTTACTAAACATGGATTTTCTTTCCTATCCACAGTTGAACCAAACCCTCCTGTGAACCTGACTTTGGAATTAAAACAGCCAGAAGACCAAAAACTCTTTCTGTGGATAAAATGGTTTCCACCTACCCTGGTTGACTTAAGTACCGGTTGGCTCATACTCCAGTACGAAATTCAGTTAAAACCTGAGAAAGCAGTTGAGTGGGAGGTGAGTTAACCAGAAGCTTTTGGAAGAAACCATGTCCTTTGGAAAAGAGGAAGCCCTTGGAACTGAGAACATGTCACTTTTCCTAATTATTAGGCAGTCATGTTGCCCTTGCTGATGCTGATCTGACCCACCCAGATATGGAAAGGCCTTCTCCCCTCCATTAGGATTTATAGGGGTTCACATCTCTCCCAGGGCTGGCTCCTTCCTTGCACTGAACAGCCCCTCCCATCAGGTTTCTAACCCACCTCCCTCAGTATATCGTAGGTCCAGACATCTTGGCTGTACTTAAATGGCACTACGTGGGAGGGAAAAAAATCTCAGTGTAACCCGTCCACCGTCAATGGCATTTTTATTCACTTTAAATACTTCAAAGTAAAGAATAATATGGTAAATTATAGGCATTATGATAGGCCACTCTTAAATATTTTCATATATGTCTCTTTTAAAAAGGAAACATTTCCCAACATAACCAAAATAATAGGATCATATATAGAAAATTAATTAAAATTATTTAATATCATGTAAATGATATTATTTTTTGCTTCAAAAAATTGCTTCAAAAAATATCTTTAACAGCTAGTTTTTCTAAAACAGAATCCACTCCAAGACCACACATTGTGGCTACTTGTTATATTCCCTTAGTCTCAACGTGATCAGAAGACTGGGACACTTGTCCCATAGAATGTCCTACCTTTTGCATTTGTCTGATTAGTTCTTTGTGAGATCTTTTAGCTAATTTCTCTGCCCCCATATTTCCTGTAATCAGACATTAGATCTAAAGACTTGATTAGATTCAGGTTGAGCAATTCGGGGCAAGAATACTTTAAAGGTGATATTATGCACTTCATATTGCATCATAACAGGAGACATAAACCATCTGGCTGACCTCCATAAAGGATGCTAAAATTGACCCCTGGATTAGGGAGATCACAGTCTGGTCCCTTGATTGTAAAGTCACGTTTAATTTGTGCACCCTTGTGTCAACATACATGAGTGTCAGTTCTCGTCCACCTAGTAGCTTTATAGCAATGAGTAATCCTTGAATCAATTATTTCATTAGGGTTTACAAAATAATAATTTCCCAGTGTTATTAACTGGTTATCTTCCATAAAGTAGAATTTAGAAGGCAGGGATTAGGGGGAAAAACATTTGTTTTTCTGAAATAGAGTTCCAAATGGAGAGATAGGAAAACTGTTCATTTTTGTGTGAACAATGTTTAAGAGTAGAAAGGGCTGGACTAAGAGGGGTAATGGTGAGAGCAGGTATCTACTAAGTCTGATTGTCTGGCCTCACTCCTCCAATAGTTTATTATCTAGGGGAAAAGTCTCTTTTTTCAGAACACAAATCAGAGTGACTTCCGTTTTCCTTGTTCCTCCTAGACTCATTTCGCTGGGCAGCAAACTCAGTTTAAGATTCTCAGCTTATATCCAGGCCAGAAATACGTTGTCCAGGTTCGCTGCAAGCCAGACCATGGATTCTGGAGTAAGTGGGGTCCAGAGAGCTCCATCCAGATACCTAATGGTGAGTGAGTGGCTTGGCTACCTTTTGCTTATGTTCTTAAATATTTTTAAACAGAATGAATTTAGTAAATTTGCATGTTTTCACTACTAATAGAAAAACTATTTGAACCTCAGTCAGGAGAATGAGTACAGGTGGGTTTATCATCTCTCTATCCAACACTAAGACATTTGGAAGTGTAGCAGTGCTTCCTGGGTCACTGTTAATGAGGACCAGTTTCTAAGATTAAGCTGCAGACATGGGCTTGGTGTGTCTCAGAGGGCTTGATGGTCATTTTTCCCTTCCCATCTGCCCCATCCCTATCATTTAACCGAAGTCATCATCTATTGATAGTTCTGCCAGAATTTGTAAGGTGATATCCTATCTCAAAGGCTCTGATGTCGATTACATGTGAAAGCACAGTATGTAAGAGGAACTCAAGCCTAACTGTCATTAAATGATGGTTTGTAAGATATGGGAACAACCAAAATGCCCATCAAAAGATGACTGGATTAAGAAATTGTGGTACATTTATACAATAGAGTATCACTCTGACATAAAAAAAGAATGAAATCTTACCATTTGCAACAACATGGATGAACCTAGAAAATATTATGCTAGGTGAAATAAGTCACACTAAGAAAGACAAATACCATCTTATGTCACTTATATGTGGAATCTAAAGAACAGAATAAATGAAAAAAATGAAACAAAATAGACTCACAGATACAGAGAACAAACAGATGGTTGCTAGATAGGAGCGGGTTGAATGAGTGAGAAAGATGAAGGGATTAGGATGTATAAATTGGTAGTTACAAAATAGTCATAGGGATGTGAAGTACAGTATGGGGAATATAGTCAATATTGTAAAAATTATGAATAGTGTCAAATGGGTACTAGACTTATTGGGGGGATCACTTTATAAATTATGTAAATGCCTGACCACTACACTGTACACCTGAAACTAATATAAAATAATATGGAATGTCAGCTATAATTTAAATAGATAGATAGATGATAGATAGATAGATATAGATGATGATAGATATAGCTATAGATATATAGTCATAGGATGTAAAGTACAGCATAGAGAATATAGTCAATGAAGGGCCGGCCGAGTGGCTCAGTTGGTTAAGAGCTCACTCAAGAGTGTGAGCTCTGAGCATCAGCGGTTTGATGCCCGGGCCCGAGCTGAGCTGCCAACAGGTGGCAGAATGGCTCAACTAAAAGAAAAAAAGAAAAAAGAGAGAGAGAGAATATAGTCAATGGTATTATAATAGCTATGTATGGTATCAGATGGGTAGTAGATTTGTTGGGGTTATCACTTTGTGAGGTGTGTAACTAGCTAATCAATATGTTGTTTTTGTACACCTGAAACTAATAAAAAATGGTGGCTTGTATTCTATAAGAGAATGATTCATCTTGTATTTCTAAAGTACTTTATAGTTTACAAGGTCCTTACCTTGTTTGGTCCTCCCAGCCCTCAGGTATTCAGAGAAAATATAATTGCCACTAGGGATTAAAAGTGAGGAAACTGAAGTTCAGTGAAGTTAGAAGTCTTGCCCAGAACCACATGACAAAGCCTAGCACTGCGACAACCTGCCTGGCCCAAATATCAAGGCTTGCACTGGCTTGGCCTACTGGAAAGGGCACTGAACTGTGGGTCATAACTTAACATGCATCTTGTCCAGCCCTGGCCCTTCCTAAATAAAAGCACAAAATCTTGAGGCAGAACACCCAGATTCGAATGCAAGACTGCAACTTTATAGTTACATGCCAGTGGGTATTTAAGTCTCATCTTTACAAATAAAGCAATGTAGGTAAAGACCTTAACACCGCTGATGGTCTTTAGTAAGAACTTAATAAATGCTCGCTTTTATTATTATTACTGCAACGGACCATGTGACCTTGAATATCCTCTAAGTATCAAATAAAATAAGATGTAAAAGGATTTTGAAAAGTGTAGAGTACCATAAAATATATGTGACATATTAAAATTTAAGAATACTGGAAAAATGAAACCCATCATTAATGCTAGTTTAGACGGCTGTTCAAATCAAAAGAAGTGTAGGTGGGGGAGAAATTTATGTTCAAAAGTTCTAATCATTAGTTTTTGTTTGTTGGTTTGTATGTAATAATGCTGTATGTGATCAAAGCTTTCTGGCTGTTTGCTTTCTAGATTTCACCATGAAAGATACTACTGTGTGGATCTTTGTAGCCGCTCTTTCTGCTGTCATCTGTTTGATTGCGGTCTGGGCAGTGGCTTTGAAAGGCTATAGGTACTTCATTGTCTATCAACCTTCCTCCCAATCATGGTTGTCAGGGATGATGGTAAAAAAAAAAATAGGCAACACAGAGATGATGGAAACCTACAGATAAGCACCTCATTTAGCCATTAGAGCAGTGCATACACCCATAAAAAAATCTTTTAACAGTGCTAGCAAAAGTTGCAAAATGGACTCATTTGAAGCTGGTGCTGTTTCTATCAAACTGAGGCTGACAGTTGGGAAATAGTAAAAATCTGTCAAGAGCAGCTAAAATCAAGAGAAGTAAAGAGTTCAAATAATTCACTAGTTTCCAAATCAGCCTCCTCAGTTAGCCAGAGCCAATTTTGACGTTAGCCTCTATAACTATTAGTTGTCATCACCATTGCTTGTCAGTTCCGCATATCCCCAGAACCCCTACCTACTGGAGCCCATGTAGCAGCTATTGAGAGAAAACACTAATCTTTCAGAAATCACCAAATGAGATGATGAGTCATTTATCCTATCTCACAATTTACTTTATAGCATGGTGACCTGCATCCTTCCACCTGTCCCTGGGCCAAAAATAAAAGGATTTGATGCTCATCTGCTGGAGGTAAGCGCCAGAGGTGGGAAAGGTATTATGATTCACTGCTTTGTCATCCTTACCTTTACATGGGCACACACAGTCCCCATCAATTCAACCTGGCCGCCAGTCATCTTTACCCAGCTATCCCTCCTCTCTAAGCATGTGTGTTTACAGAAAGATGCGTATTTATTATCAGACGCTAAACGTCAGAGGGGAAAGAAAGAAAGCCAAGGAAGCATGAAAACACATCGTAAAGCTAGATTTCCCAAGTCTGTTCATATGCACATACATAAACATTTTGTACAAATAATCAACTTAGAAAGAGGATAAATACTTTAATACAAAAGAGGGACCTACCACGACCCCCTCAATCACACTTTGGTAAAAGCTCTAGCTCTCGCTTGAATGCTCTTCACATAAGGCCTGAGTAACAGAATATCCTTTGACAAATTTGGCTCTTTTTGAGCCCCCAGCTGAGGCTGGATCAGTGCAGTGGGGCAGGTGTTTGCCAGGGCCCATTTGGGCTGATTCAAGTGGGAATTAAATGTAAGTGTTTTGAATGAAAAGAGAGGTTAGAACATTTTCAATTTCTTTGCAGGTTGAAATATATAGTTTCAATTTGACCTTAAGCTTAATACTGATATATATGAAAGCAATTACCTGCTCATGATATCACTTTACCCAGCCTCTGCGAGGCTAACAGCACAAGATCGTAAAGAGTGGCTCCCAGAGAATTTGACTTGACTGAGTTCACTTTGCAAATATCAGAGCAGGGACTAGCACCCCGGAATCTGAGCTCCTAGTTCAGCGTTCTTACCCCACTGTTCAGTCTCTAGCACTGACCTTTATAGGACCAGCATGAACTCTCAGCTAACTAAATTAACTACTATCTATTCAACATTGTGGCCACAGAGACTTAGTGATAAACTCTTTTGTGTGTCAAAAAAAAATGTTTTTGTTTCTCAATAACATTACCTCTAATCCTCAAAAGAACCCTCTTCTATGACACTGCTATTCTCATTTTACAAATGGGGAACCTGAGGATCATTGAGTAGCTTATCCCAAGTCGGTACCCTTTAATAAGTGATAAAGCCAAGGTTTAGGCACCAGTACCTGACCTAAGTCAGAGGGTCAGGACGCAGAGTGGAAAGCAAGAGGAGAAGGCAGGAGGAAGAAGGAGAGAGAAGAAGAGTCAGGATGAGAAGGAGGAGGGAGAGGAATAGCAGGAGAGCGAGAGAATATGTGTTAGCAGGAAGAGAAGGGGAGAACGGAGAAGAGGGAAAGGAGAGGTAAAAGCAGGATAGGAAGAGAAAGGAGCGGAAGGAAGGGAGAGGTAGGAAGAGCAGTTGTTCAGAGGAGAAGGAAGAAATGAGCCGCTACTTACTACTTCCAGACTCTAAAAAGTAGGAGGCCAGCAACCCGACCTCAGAGCCAGTGAATCCCGAGGTGGTGAAGGCATGTATGAGCACTGTGATTTTAGATCTCTCACAGACTTTTCTTATTGCATGATTTTATGTTTATTACCTGTGCACATACTACTTGCCCATTAAATGGGTCATATTATTGCTTAGAGAGAGACTAAGTTAAAATACGAATTGACGTAAAGAAATATGTTAGATAAGTAGCAGTCCGGGAGATGATTATAAATGGCCCGGTACACAAATGTCTAAATGGGGAAATTCTGCTAGGCTGTTACCACACCCCACCCGCTCACAGTCATGAACACAGGCCGGGGTGTGATGCTTATTGGGAATGTTATGAAGCTAACAGCCATCTCTCCTTGTGCCTATGTTTTAATAGAAGGGCAAGTCTGAAGAGCTACTGAGTGCCCTGGGATGCCAAGACTTCCCCCCTTCTTCTGACTGTGAGGACCTGCTAGTGGAGTTTTTAGAGGTGATCGACAGTGAGGACCAGCAACTGATGCCAGCCCATTCAAAAAAATACCCGGGTCAAGGTGTGAGGCCCACACACCTGGATCTCGACAGTGACTCTGGCCAGGGCAGCTGTGACAGCCCATCCCTGTTGTCTGAAAAGTGCGAGGAACCCTGGGCAAATCCCTTCCCATTCCACACTTCTGAGGGCATTGAGAAGCCAGAGAGTCCTGAAACAAATGGTACCCACCCCTGGGAGCCCCAGAGCACAAGCTTGGAAGGCAAAATCCCATATTTCCATGCCAATGGATCCAAATCAGCATGGCTTTTACCACAGCCCCCGACCCTGCACAACCCCAGATCTTCTTACCACAACATTGGTGATGTGCGTAAGCTCTCCATGGGCATAGCAGGTGCATCGGTCACTTTGGTGGACAAAACAGACAAACAGGCTTTAAAATCCTCGCAAACCACTGAGACGGGAGGGGAGGAAAAGGCAGGCGAGCAGAGGGAGGCGGAACGCTCCCATTCCCAGGCTGACCCGGACACCGCGTGGCTGCTGCCCCAGGAGGAAACCCCCTTTGTCTCTGCTAAACTCCTGGATTATGTGGAGATTCACAAGATCGACAAAGATGGTGCACTATCATTGCTTCCCAAACAGAAAGAGAGCAGCAACCAGCCAGAGAAGGCCAGCACTGCGGAAACCAGTAAGGAGTACGCAAAAGTGTCCAGGGTGGTGGATAACCGCATGCTGGTGCTCGTGCAGGATCATTGCGCTCACAACCTGGCTGTGTTTGAAGAACCCGCCACAGAGGCTGCATCATCCGTTCAACAGAGTCAAGCTGAGAAAGACGTGGCCTCTTTCGCTGCGACGCCAAGCAATTGCAAACACCAGCTGGGTGGGCTGGACTACCTGGATCCTGCGTGTTTTAAGCACTCCTTTCAGGGATAGCTTGATTCATGGAATGATTGATTAAAATGTGATTTTTTTTTCAGGTAACACTAAAGCGTACATGAAATGCACGCTACTAGAGAATGTTCAAAAATGGGGTTAGAATGACACTACTAAAATGCACGCTTCACTCCTGTTCATGCTCCATTTTCGACCAGTTGCCTCTTTCTCCAACAGCTGATTCCAGAACAAATCATTCTGTTTCCTGTGATTTGTAGATTCATTCTTTTGCTGTTAGTTATAAAATGATGTGTTCCATGAAATAAAAGCACATTGCTTGGTACTCCTGAAGGATGGTCCCAATAGGTATAGCCTCCGGAAAAGGCTTTCATGGTTTGGTATGTGACAGAAGGAAAGGAAATGGTTAAAATAGTTTACCACAGGGAAGTGATGGAGATAAGAAAAGTGCCATGGAAGCCCCTTTTGAAAACCAACTGCTTAACCTTTGCACTCCTCTTTCATTTTATTAGGATTAACCAAATACAGTTTTTAAAAGAATGCATTCCAGAACACCTGACAAATTGTTTACTTCAGTTCCTATTACCTTAGTTGTACATTGCTGATATGCAAGTAAAAATCATGCCTCCATTTTTTTCTTAAAATAGTTTGGATTTGTTAAGCATAGATTTAACAGGTCTCCTCAGAGGACACCCCCCAAAAAAACAACAACAACCAAAAAAGACTATTTCATTCTAAAGCCTCTAGAGAATATAGTTTTGGAAAGTGGAATTTTCTTACACAAGAGGCAAATGAGTTTCATGTGGTAAATCCTTCTAAAATGTTTTCCTGCTTCACTTAAGCATGATAGATAATTTATTTTACACCCTGGACTTCTCGTAATGGAAAAAAAAAATCCCAAAAGACTAACTAGTTTAAAAATCATCACAGCAGGATGTTAATGGAGATACTGCCTTACTGTACATACAAATTCTACTTTAATACAAACCCATATGTTTAACAATGTATTTTGAAAACTATTTTTCTATCACTTAGATAAAATAAGAGGCTATTTTCTACGTTCCCAGTACAGCTGTTTACGTATTCAGTGGGTATAGTATTTTCTGCTATGAGGCTATACTGAGTATTTACAGTACATAGTAGTGTATGCAATCCCTGTTTGTGGAGTAAAATGCCATACCAGCCCAAACCCCACTGGGGAATATGAAGTGGATGACAATATTCAATTTCCAACACAGTGTGGTATAGTTTATCTGATTCTTTTAACTCCAGGATACATTAAACAACGACCACCAACCTAGAGTTTTAGGGCTCTTCGCAAACCAGAAATCACATCTCCTGCAATTTAGAGCTACTTTGGGGCTTCTCTGCTCTTCATGAGTGAATATTCATGAAGCCACTATGAAGGAAAAGAGTAGTGACATCTAACATACTGTTTTAACAGGATGATTTTTGTTTTGCTTTGTTTTTCTGAGCAATCTTGGGCAGCAAAGACATTTTAAGCAAAGCCAGGAGTTAGTATCTCTCTGGAGTATAATAGATCCATTTGCAAAACCTTGGCAGAGGACACACTTGGGTCAGAAGTGTCCAAATAAAAGTTCTAAGAAACCTAGCATCTGCAGAGTGGTGGGAACAGCTACAAAGAGCAGGCTACGGTGGTAAGAATCTCCAAGTCATTTCCAAGGGCAGGCTGCCAGGAGTGGTCAACAGTCTGGATCTCCATTTTAAAGAGAGCATCCATGACCCGTGGAACTGCCTCCCTCTATTTTTCATTTCACCTAATGGCAAATCCATCCACCATCCACCATGTCCACGCAGTAGGTGGACAGAGAGAATTGGAGCTCACCTCTGTGAGTTAAATATTCCACCCTGATAAGCTCATGTTGACAGGAATTAGGCTCAGAGGTCTTTGAAAGTGAGCACATTGCCAGAGCTTCCAGGATTGCAAAAGTAAAAGATCTGAGGCTCTAGTCTCCCAATATATAAACATCTTAAGAGTCAGGGAAATATTTTGGAAAGTTGTCCAAGTTCATTCAATTCCCTAGACCCTTGTTACTCAAAATCTTGTCCGAGGACCAGTTATAATGGCGCCACTTGGGCACTGCTTGGAAATGCAGAATCTCACCCCCCATGCCCCAGACCTACAGAATCAGAATCTTCATTTTACTAATATCCACAGATGATGCATGTGCACAATGAAGTTTGAGAAGCACTGCCCTAGACGGTCACTTCCACTAAAGGATAGTTTAGTGCATGGAAACTCCTCTCATGGAAAGTACAGGTCAAATCTGTTTGACTTGCACTAAACAACAATGTATAGAAGGAGAAGGCATGATTTTTTTTTTTATCTATTAGTGGTGTAAGATTCACATAATAGTAGAGAATGACTGCAAAAGTACACACAACTTCCAAGAAGTTGGGCGACATAATCCACTTTGAATGGCACTGACCAAAGACTCTGCCCTCAAAGCCAATATAGACTAACATTTTTCCAAAATAGTCCATTCTTCTCCAAGATGTCTCTCACTCTGATAGTTTGAAAATTTTAAAATAATCTGTTTTGACATATAATTTGGCATATCTGAAAAAAATATCAAGGCTAAAGACTCAACCTGAATTAAATTCCTAAAACACACCAATTAGACACTTCTTAAGTAAAGCCAGGACTATAATTCTATGGTCAATTAAGATTCTATATTTGAATTAAGTTTTTTTTCAGAGTCTAGAATATTTTCTATCAAGGAGACAGCTGATCAAGTGGAAGGATGCAGATAGGGGTCAGGAGCCCCAGGTTCTAGCCCTAACTGTGTCGCCTTAGATCAATCCCCCTTCTCTGGGCCTCAATTTCCTCTAAAGGAAAATTTGAGCCAAATAATCTGTAATGCCCTTTTAAACTCCAACTTTTTGATTCCATGACTCATTGAGTGTTTTCCAGCCAAGATAATTTAACTAACGCCTTATATCTTCATGAAGCTGATAAATAACTGCCCTTCATCATAGAAATACAAGTACTCTTCAGTGCTTACTGCATTTCACTTGGAAATCATCAGTTCCAGGCCCTAACATATTGCACAAGCATTTTATAAATTATGTAGATACAGAATCATAGTCCAAGATTATATGCAAATATGTGTGGAGAAAGAAGAGACATAAGTTTTTTTGGTTTTGTTTTTTTTTAAGACGTATTGAAAGTGGCTCTAATTTTTAGAAAAATAACCTTTTGCTGAATCAAGCTATGCTTATTCCTTCCTGAATCCAACAGCCCTAGAAAATCTCTTTTCTTACATCTGGCTGCTGATTCTAGTATTTTTTTTCTCTCTCTCTCCTGTATTACGAACATTGCACAGTTGATTTAAAGAACCTTACGCTCTGAAATGCAAAAGTCATATTTTTGTAAACAAATACTTAAATATTCAAATTACAAAGCACATAGAAATGAGATAGCCAATGGGTGATTTATAGAAGCTTATGACCTAAACCGCAAAATGTTTTCTGCTCAGTTTTTACAAATGGGTAGTAGGCACCTCAATATGAATAGAAGTTGCTATCAGCTGTGTCACTGACCTTTGACACACTCACTCTTCATTCTTCTAAGTGCCTAACGCTCATCCTGATAGGCAGGTATGTACTAAAAACTTGCTTTCAGCAATTCGGTTCAAAGTGGGTCAATCCCTCAGCATGTGTGCAAGATCAAGGTGTCTGACTCCTAGACCTGTAGTGACCCAACTGAATCAGAGAATCCTATGAGTTCAGGAGCAACCCGAGTCTGTGGGGGAATTGGACTCTTTCTTGAAGGCCACTGCTGCCGGTCACTTGCAGGAAGACTTGGCCCTGCCTTTGCTAACAACTTTCCTATCTTCTCAGAGTAGACAAGAAAGAAACAGATTTGCACACATTTTACAAAGTGCCTTTCTTTACTTTCATATAAAAACAAAGTTTCCTTTTTACAAGAAAAGTGTATTGAGTGGAAAGTAAATTTTACCTTTTTGAGTGTGCATGAATGGAGAAGACAGAAGGGAATGATGAAATGGTCAAAGGTCCAACCAGCAACTGTGCAGCAGATTTTTACATTTATTGTTTAATTGAGTTACCACAGAGCCGATATAAATAGTGCAACTTACTTTGTCTGAAAAGAAATTGACTCTGGCTAGGATTTTGAGCTCAGCCTGCCACCCCAGCTCTCAATTTAAAAACATACTGATGCCCTTTTGAATGGTTTTGAATTGCATGCCTGGGCCTGAAAAGGACAATGCCCACACAATGGAACTTTGGACTCATACAAAAAAAAAAAAGTAAATGACTCTGGATTACCATTCCCAGTGTTGCTAACATAGATTTGCCGTTGATGAAAGTCTTGTGTACATCAGTGAACAAATTTCTTTTTCTGCTTCTCAGCTCAAGCACAATAGTGACATTGCTAGGAGAGTGGGCTGAGCACTCAATTTCCAGGTCAACATCGCATTGCTGCTGCTAAACGGGCTAGGTGACTATGCGAGTCCCTTAAACTCTAGCCCCCTGTTTCCTTACCTGTGAAATAAGTGGGTTGGCCTGAACTCTTTCTAAGACCTCTTACAGCTAGAATCATCTTTGATTTCTCACGAACGAAGTAAAATTCAGGGGTTCTAGTCAAAGGCCCAAGAGCACTCAGGAAAGCGCTGCTGATTTGTCCTTCACCTGAAGGAATGCAGCGTGCGGCTGTGACAGTGCTGGAGAGAAAAGCAGAGATCCTTTTCTCCAAGTCAGATTGATGTAACATCCTTGCTCCTTTTCTTCTTAGCTGTCCATACTCACAAGCTGTTCATCCTCTCACTCCAGGGCCTATATTTTTCCTAAGAGTTAATCATGTGCTATAGCAACCATAGGAAGTGCAAGAAACTAAATTATTCCTAAACAATAATTGTGGCCCTGCAAAAGACTGAGTCAAATGTGAAATCAGCCACACAGATATCAAGGCCCAGGCTGAGGGTCACAAGTTACCTCATTCAGAGATTTACGTTTAGTGATTCTAGTTCAATTCATTAGTTAATGAATTCAAAGGCCATTAATAAACCCAAGCAACACTGATGACTCGGTCTTGCGGGTCTTAAACAGAAACTTAAAAATACAAAATAATTGTTCGAGAGTATATGATCTAACCAGGAGTTCTATTTATAATTAATTACATCCCAGATGTGTTCCATGATTAGCATATATACTATCTATCTGCGAATCAGATAGGAGCTTTCTCTCCAGACTTGCGCTTTTCAGGAAGGTGATTTTTGTTCTGAGGCCTTCATGGTATCTATTTCAATGAAAGGAAAAAGATAGAAAATAGGACATTTCCAGAGGTTTGGGCATCTCAGGATTCCACAAAATGCAGAGAGTAGCCTACTCAACCTAAATTGTATTGGACATGGTGAGTCTATAATTTATTCAGTGATTTGAGTTTACAGTTAAGAGATGTACATAACTCACAACACCATATGCCCACCACTGTTTTGTGCACATCGATTCCTTTGATTTATGCTCTGATTTCAATCAGGAAGAATTGAGGCATGTAAAGTAGAAAAACATCCCATTCATGTGATTGTGGTCAATAAATAGAGAGGCCCTTAGGTAGTCTTAGTATACTCGTTAATTTTTACCTGCTTCTGATTAAAAAGAAAAAAACCCAATTTACTCTCCAAACTGGTTACTGAAGTAGTAATGCCAAAAATAACCTTTAATAATTTGTGGTCAAATTATGCTTCACCTGGATAAACTTCGAAATACAGTCTTTGAGTTTTTCCATGCAAATTTCACAAGTCTTAGGGGAAAATATCTTTCTGTTATGGTATCTGAAATTGAAAAACTACATGGCAGAAATATCTCTGAGAATTCATTTGTTTTATAAAATTTCTAATGAAATGATTTTGAGTTTTTCAAAGTAACTACCTCCCCTCCTTGTCCTAATGTCCTTTCTTCAAAGCTGCTTATTGTTTAGAATGAAAGATGTCACATCTCATGCTTTCATTATTTTTTCAGTGGCATATTTGTTGTATTTGCCAAGTGATATTCCTGACTTTAAAGAAACTGTTATATTATTTCATATTATATTGCTTTATGTGGTTCAAAAACTATTACATATGTCACATTGAAATATATAATCCTCATATTGTGAAACTCATCATGTAAGACAAATGAAATAATTATTCAATGACTTACATCTACCCATATGTAGTTTCAATATGATTGTGTCTGTATCTGTAAAACAAAACTAAAAAAAATATGTAATCATATAAAGAAAATATGTGAATGTACTAATTCTTCTTAATCTTTGTCTGGAAGTATTTAATGTGCCGTTGTACAGCTGATCTGATCGGTGAAGTGTTTAAAGTACAACAAACGCTGTTTAAAAGTCAACCCCTCAGCTTTGCTTCACGTAACCTTTGATACTTCTTGAGTGTTATTTGCATTATGAGGCTTGCTTTTGTGTTTGATCATCTGTTTTTAAAATCGAAGAGTCTCATGTGGAAACCAAAGCAATCTAGAACCAATCTGTTGGGTGGTCTGTGTGTTCTGTAAAGCCATATTGAAGTAAAGACTATGTACTAGCATAAGGTTCCATATTTTCAAAGCTACCACTACCTCCGCTTTTTCTCTTCCCTGGGAAAGGCCAAGCAAAATTCTTGAACAGTAAGTGGGGAATTAGAAGTGATTGTTACATTAAGTTGTTGAATGTTTTTTTTTGTTTTTGGTTTTTTTTTTACATGAGAATATACCTTCTAATTTACCACTTTGCAGGTTTATGCTAGGTTGTCTCAATAACCATTTTTACATTTAATAAAAACAATGAGGCATAAGGATCAGAAAGAGTACATAGTCACCAATGAAAAACCAACAAAACCAGCGTGCAGATTTTTTCCTAACTGTAAAGCCCCTTAAGGCGGATGCCAAAAATCATGATGTTATCTCTCACAATTTGATTTCCTTAAATCCCCCTAGAAATAAATCTTTCCGTATTTGATTTTAGCCATCAAATATATTATGGTATGGGGAAAATTGATCATATATCAGAAATAATTTTGTTTTTATTTTTAAAACTCATTTCTACATGTACTTATTGTAATGCTGATTTTTTTTTCCTTTTTAGCCTTAAGACTATAGCCATCTGATTTGTCTTGCATTTTTAATTCTGTACATTTTTTGGTTATTGCACATTGTGCTTTATGTTTTCCAGGGATTTATTAATTTGTCTCCTTTTATTTTGAAGGGACAATATGGACAGTTAAGTCTTTGTCAATAATATGGGAGATTATGCTAACTGCTGTTCTCACAATGTTTTCATTTTTACTGCACATGAAAAACAATGCTTACCAAACTAAATCTTAGACATCCCAGTATAATATGGTCATTGTATTTCTATTCATGTTGAAAATTCCCAGCTCAGTGCCTGGCTCAATAAATGTTTATTTCCCTTGCCTACCTTCCCTCGATTTTTTTTTAACATAGAACTAAGCAGAATAACATGTGTGTCGTTGAAGCATTTTTTCTGAAGAATTTTTGCTGCAAAAGGATCTATAATCCAGAAATTGCTTATATAAATTGAACCGAAATTATTTTCCTCCTTTAGTTTCACCCTTCCATATGATTGCAAACATAATTTCCGTCCTTTTCCCATCTCTTTCACATGAAAAGCTGCTAAAACAAAAGTAAAGTGAAACCATGGACATGGGGATCAAATCAGAGAAGCTCATTTAAATATTGTGAAATAAAGGAAAGACCAAACCATTATAAAACAATAAAGGGATTATTTTGAATTGTTTAAATCATCCATATTACTAACAATGTCATTTTTGACAAAATCCATCAGATTATGTGTAAAATGATAACCTTTTACTTTTAATGGATTTAGAGCTAAAATTTTCACCTACTGTTCATGCTTGTGTTACACAATTATGAAATGGTGTGGGATTTTGCTTTAAAAATTCTTCTCTGCCTCCTAATTCTGTAATGCCATGTCTTACAGACAACAAGAAATTTCTTGCGGATCACAATCTAAAACTTAACTTCTGTCCAAGAAACACTGACTCTCCCATGCTTACATTGGTGCCGCCCGCCTTTAATACTTGGGCACACTTTCACCTTTAAGCTGCAAAATTTAGTGTCAGTCACCAGACACTACATTCATATAATTTATGAGGAGCTAGAGAATATGCAGCTGGTTTTCCAAAATCATTGCATGTGCTTTTCTGAAAGAAAACAGAAATTATATACTGCCACACCTTGCCAGGATCGCATTTGAAGCTTGAACCCCATCAACTTCCTATGACTTACTAACCAAGCTTTATGCATTGTAAATCTCCCCTATTTTTTTAGGGGTTGGGAGATATGAGTTCCATTTAGTGAAAACCTTGAAATCTTGAGGGTGGGGAGTAGGATGGGACTGGAGGGGAGTATAGGAAATGGGGCTATTGAAAAGCCCCGAAAAGGGTCCTTTCCCACCACAGAAGCAGGTTCTTGCCAATTTACCTCTGGGAGTATCTGCAAACCATACAGATGAAAATGAGCCTGTGCATGACATTGCAAAATATACGCTAAACTGGAATTCTCTCTACAACCTTCCTCACTCACCCCACCCCTCCACTCCAGTTGCCCTTGCTAATGCCCTGTTAAGCATTTTTCTTTTGTTATGATCAGGTTCACATTGAAGCGTGTGCTTGAAAACTGACCTGAAGCATAGATATTTTTATGAAAGTGATAAAATATTTTTCTAAGAAAGGCTGGGGACATCAGTCAAATAAAGCACCACATAAATAAATGTCGGTTGGTGAACACTGGTACAAGAAAAGGGAGCTCAGGAATCTTTATTACTGTATTTATAAATGTGTTTGAAAGAGTTTGTAAATGCCACAGGTACACTTTTAGGGGTGACACACATTGGCTCCATACGTTGTTAAAAATGACAAGATGAGCTTAAATGACATTTGCTGATAGTTTCACTTCACATGATCAATATCGATATTGTTACTGAACCATGTAACCTCATGATGCATTTTTTCAATTCTTTTTCAAACACTGCTTTTGCAATGGTAGCCATGCTTAGTTTAAATTGAATCAATAAATTACTTCCTGAGCAATGGTTTTTTGGAGGCTCTTTGAATGTACATGTGAAACATGTATTCCTTGAAAAATAAAATGTAACTTTGAGACATTTTTTTCTTTGCTTCAACAAACTTATTAGGGTGTGTTTTTTAAAAGAAGGAAAGAATGACATTTTAAGTTTCTCTGGAAATAAAATGCACTGACACATACTAAAATATTTGTCTTAGAACACTCATCCAAGGCATTTTTTTTTTCAGGCACGCTTTTTTTGTGCATGTCTTTCAACACATTCTCTCATTTTATTTTCCTACTCATTCTAAATCAAAACTGACATCTTGCTTGCAGGCCAACTAAATTCTACATCTTCTCTTTCCCCTAGTCTTTATTTATTTGCCAGACCCAAGCCTTAAAAACACAAACATGATTGGAAGCACCCAGAAGTTCCCCGAGCCTTCTGGGAACAACTAAGAACAATCAAAAAGGAAACTTTCCAAATCGGACATACAATTAACTTCCCAAATGAAGCTTAAGCCATGTAACTCAGGGCCAAGGATTCACACTTTCTTTTGTTCTCTTCTTCCTTACCTAGAATTACCTTCCATCTTCACTTAATTCTCCAGCTGTGATTTAATCTCTCTTTCATGATTTTTTATTTCTTGCATAAAATAGTTTATACACACTTGAAAATTACAGAGGATACTGTAACAAAGCTTCAATTACCAACACCCAAGTTTCACAAATATTAACATTATACCATACATTTTACCATCTGTTCCATACCTTTATTTTTAAATAAATGAAATATTATAGATGCACTATTTTATATCCCTCAATAACCAAATTCTCTATCTTTCTCTCTAGTGGTAACTGTAATCATGTAGCCATTATATATCTTTCCTGGCATTTAAAAAATGCATTTGCTAGCCCAGCTCCAGGTTGAGCTGTTGTTCAGCATCTTAGCTGTGGAGGGCAGTGTCACTGGCCCTCATATGTGGGATCTGAACCGGGGCCCTCTGGCATCCCAAGCCAGTTCTTAACCATCACGCCATTTGGCCAGCCCAGTATGTTATTATGTTTTAAGTGTGTCTTCTACACACAGCAAATACAATAGTCCTCCTGTATACATCATTCCACTTTCTGAACTTTTGGTTACCTGCAGTCAACAGGAGTCTGAAAATATTAAATGTAAAATTCCAGAAATAAACAATTCATGTTTTAAATTGTGCACCATTCTGAGTAGCATGATGAAATCTCATGCTATCCCTCTCTGTCATGCCTGAGATGTGAATCATCCCTTTGTCCAGCTAAGCCATGCTATATACACTACCCATTTGTTAGTCATTCAGTAGGTCTAGGTTATCAGCTTGGTTATCAGACAGAGAGAGAGAGAGAGAGACCACATTCACATAACTTCTATAACTGTTATAATCATTCTATTTTATTATTAGTTATTGTCATTAACCTCTTACTATGCCTAATTTATAAGTTAAATTTTATCATAGGTATGTATGTATTGGGAAAAAAAACATAGTATATATATATAAGGTTCAATACTATCTGTGGTTTCAGGGATCCACTGCGGGTCTTGGAATAAACATATCCCTCTTTTAATGAGGGGGGACTACTGTAGTTAGATTTTGTTTTCTCATTCTATTTACACATTTTTCCTTTAGATGATAAATCAGTTACATTTTTCTCATCTGGTGTACCTTTCCTTCATTTTTCTTTTGCAAACTTTGCAATTTGCAAAATGTCTTGGCAATTTGCAACTTAAATCAGCCAATTCGATAGCAATAATTATTAAAGGAGTAAGATATAATTAAAGGTCCTAGTCAGATAATTTGTTGTATCTGAGAGCCCAAGTTTAGGGACAATTCTTTCCCTATATGGGAACAATCCTAGACACAGGGAGCCAAATTCTAAGGAATCTCATTCTGGTATAATTGGAAGACACAATGTGCTTTGGTTGTGAAATTCGGGGGTGTGAACAACTAGAGAAGTCCAACTGATAACAGAGGAGACTATGCACAGCAATATTTCTGCCATACATTCTACCAAAAAGACTTTGACTTGGATGTTCATGAGCCTCCTTTTAAAACAAACCTTCCCCAGTTAACTGTCAGTCATCAACCATGTCCATTCTGGAGTAACATTTGATAAGCGTTGTGTACCAGGCATGGTGCCAGGATACAGTAAGCATTAGGGACATGCTTTCTCCCTCCTGAGGATGACAGTGCAGTGGGGAGGCTGCGGTAACCCATGTGCCCTCAGCTCTCACCAGACTGACTTTTGAAGAATATTAAGTCTCTTAACTCCTGATGAGCCTTGCCCAAACAGTTGGTCCTAAGAAGTAAATGAAAGGACTGACTTTGCACCTTTTTTAAAAAAACCAGTGCTACATGAAACTGATCACAGGGTTACAGTATCTGAGCCACATCTCCTTGCAGCTATTCTCCTCTAACACACTTGCCATCCCTGCACCTCGGTCTGAACACCCTGCACACGCCATCCTGCACACGCCATCCTGCACAGTACCGCCACTGTGGAAGGCAATACCTATAACATGAGGTTTTGTGTAAATTAGAGTTCATCTGAAATCCTTGTAAACTTTTTCCATTTCCTTCAATTCCATGACTTCTAAAATGAATTAGTACAGGGAAAGAATCACTTTGGTAAAATGTTATTTGTTCTCAGTAACTCTTACAAGACCCTGCTCTGTTACTGGCAGAAGAGCTGGGGGCAAAAAACAAAGTTCAGTTATACTCATGACTCAACTGATAAATCATTGATGAACCTGTGTTTAAAAAAACAACAGAAAAAAAACCTCCTCTATAATCATTAACATGACAACAGACATTCCATGATTCCTCACTTGCCAATTATCTTTTTTAAAGAGACATTGCAATATTTCCCTACCTGATGAAATACATTCTGCACCTTTAACGTAATTCTTATCTGGGAAGAGATAGCAAGAGATTGATGTTCTGTGCCTCGTATTTACCACCCTGTAAACTGGTGTAGCTCCCCATCTCTGCTTTTCTATAAAATGGAGAAAATTACACCTGATCTGCTTGACAGGAAGGTAGAAAAATATCCAGAGTTGATGTCTCTTCAAGTCCCTTATTGCTGACAGATAACATCTGTTTAATAGGAATATTATCTGTGAATCTAAGGTAGGATCTTAGATTGATATTTCAGGTGACTTCTAGACTGAGAAAGATGATCCGGGGGGAATCTAAGTTTCCTCCCATCCCAGTGTAAAGATTCAGTAGATATTACGTTAATTTTAAAAAGGTCAAAAGACTCAACATCTTAGAAAACAGTTTTGTGCAATGTTCGTTGAATTATAAATTGACGCCGTCTTACTGGAGTGCATTTAAAATGTATGTATATTTTAACTTAGAAATCCCTCTTTAAGGAATTTATCCATAGAAAAACAAAATTAGCACAGTGCACAAAATGTTGGAGAAAACACAGCTATCCATCAATAAGAACTTATTAAATAAAATATATGGGGACTTCTAGTAGCTTTATGTTCAACGTGGAAAAAGCTTAGAAGTTGTCACTGCCATTTTTACAAGAAGAAGCTGCACAAACTGAAATCAATGGCTTTTCTTGACCCTATCAGAAAAACTAGGTGGCAGAGTGAATTGTCGCTCTGAAATCTAGAGATACAGGCAAATCCTGAGAGTCAACAGCCGAGACCTGCTTAACCTGGAGCTAAAGCCACAGGAGCCATAACTGGTAAGAACACTTAAACAGTAATTTTGACAAATTGCTGGAGGACTACTGTGGGCTGGAGTGAGAATGAGAAACTCCCTGATTGCCACAGCCTCCGGAGAACCCCCAAATTTATGGGCCTTACCTGGAGGAACAGCACCAGGTTTTCATGGCGAAGAGCCCTTCATTGCTCTGGCTGGGGAAGGGGGAGGGGAATCACTGGGAAATGGGTTCAGAGCCTTCACTTTAACGAAGATTATTCTTTGTAGGAAACGGCTTCGCCAGGGCCCCATGTCAGCTGTGTGAAAGACATTACCCCCAAAGCCCCCTCTAGTCTTCCTGTTTCATCTAAGGGAGGGAAAAACAAAAAGAACATACTCAACAGGGATAAGGGATTTAAGGAAATAGATTGGAAAAACTGAGGCCAAAGGGGTGAGCAGAGGGTGGGATTTTTTTTATTTTTTTCAAGTTATACTACTGGGGAAACACTTGTGAAGGTCACAGTCCAGAGACATAGGCCCACTCAAGAACCTAGATCTGACCATACGATTTTAGGGCTCCAGGACAATAAAGTGGATTACAGTGGAAAGAGCTGCCAGAGGCTGACTGTATTTGAGTTCTCAGGAAAGCCTTAAGACAGCAGAGGACACAGAAATGAAGGCACTGAAGGCACCTGAATCACTGGCACCTATTGCTAAAGCAAACATCCAACACATCCAACTTCCAACTCGACTGATAGAAAACCTCTCACTAAAAGCATATTCATCTCAACATTACCAATGTAGCCAGTCCAGCTTTCATCAAACGGTTGAAAGGGATTCTAAAATGATAGAGGGGGAACACAGTGTGAAGAAACAAAGCAAGCATCAGAACCAGACAGATATACACAGATAGTCGAACCCTCTGATTTAAAATAACTATGAATCATGTTAAGGACTCGCATGGGAAAAGTAGGCATTGTGTAATCCCAAATGGGTAATGTAAGTCGAGAGATGGAAACTCTAAGAATGAGTCCAAAGGAAATGCTAGACATGAAAAAACTGTAACAGAAATGAGGAATGCCTTTGATGAGCTCATCCGTAGACTGGACGTGGCTGAGGAAAGACTCGGTGAGCTTGAAGATAGGTAATAGAGCCTTCCGCAGCTGAAATGCAATGAGAAAAAAGGGCGGGGGGGGGAACATAAAACAACCTTCAAGAACAGTGAAATGATTTCAAAAGGTGTGCAATATATGTGTAATTGAAATAAAAGAAGAAAAAACAGAAAAGAAGAAATATTTGAAGAAGTGGTGGCCAAGAACTTCCTAAAATGAAATAAAATATATAATGAAATATTATGAAGAAACTTGGAAAGATGACTCGGATCTATTTTTTTTTCATGAAAAACTATACTATTGACTAAGCAGTTTGTAAAATGGCATGTATATACACAGGTCTACACATGTAAAAGGACTTCCAAAAGTCTTTACTAAAATATAAGGGTCAAATTTATTGTGATTTTACTTTGTTGATTACGCTTTTCTAGGCTTGAGTTTGTTTTCATTAAAAAGTATGTATTGTTATGGTAATCAGAAAAAGACACAACTTTTCACTTCGCAGCTATTCAGAAAGCAGTGTTTTGCATCTCCACCCTAGGCAGTTTCTCATGTCACTGGGTGCCTTTCACCATAACAATCTCTGAATTTACAGCCCCAGAAAAATCTCAGGTCACAGAAGCTTGCAACCTGCTGTGTTCACCAGGACAAGGTTGATCACAGCCCGGTGGAGTTGACGAACATGTGCTAAGCTTCATGAACTCAGCATTTTCTCACCTCAGTCCATGACAGATTGGACACCCAGTAAGAGGCTGTGCATCGCTGGCCTCAGTGACATGGGTCACTACCACTCCAGATGACGAGCTAGATCACATAACTACTCCCCACTGCCCCCAAAGCAGAATGGGCTGGGAGCTGGGAGCCCACACAAAAGGGGACAATTTACATCGAATTTAGAGCACTTCCTGGGCTTAGCTGGTACCCTTGCCTCCTGTGGGCATTTGGGGTAAAAGGTTGTTTTCCAGATATTGGTGGGGGATGTGACCAAGTTAACTGTCTCCCTTGTATGGTGCTCACCCATATGCCTGTACCCCCCAGCTCCAATTGCCTTTGTCACTGTCCCCCTTTGGCACTGCCAAGCAAAGGCACATTGACTCCCACTGGCAGCAGTTGGAAATCTGGAAGAGATACTCTCAGAGCAATCTGGGTGGATCTTAAAAACATGGCTCTGAGTGGGAAAAATACGACACATACTTATATAAATAAAAAAATGCATTCACTCCTAACAATACACATTTTACATGAATATATACTAACAAAAACATATATATTAAACAGACTAAATACTGCTTATGGAGATTGGGGAGGTGGAGGCAGGAATGACAACTGGGAATTTAGAGAAGTAAAACATAATAAAAATAAAGCACCCTAACTCCTCAGCTCTCAACTTTTTGCCTCATTCAGGTACCTAAAGGGATGCACAGCTGTCCAGAGCCTTCCCTAGCTATTTGGTGGCCCTCTCCTCCCTTTTGGAATGTCCCCTTCCCCATTAATCCCTCTTCTCTTGCTCTAAAACCCCCCAATACCAATACCAATTTCTTTATCCATTCACTTCATGCATAGTCCCCTTCTCTCTCTTTTATTTACATGCCTCCTTCTCAATCCCTGACCATCCCCCCACAGCCATTACCACCCTCCTGCAGAGAGAAACCCACCCTGATGAGACCCTGATGGAACACAAAACTAACAAAACTAGTGCAGAAGCCCTTCACTTTGCCTGCCTGCCTTCTTCCTCTTTCCTTTCTCCCTCCTTCCTTCCACCACTCCCTTTCTTACTCTTTCCTGAAGGCACTGATGCCAGCCTTGGGAGCTCTCTCTGCGCTTGTTGAAGTGGTGGCAGTAACCACTCCAGGATTCCCCCTTGAGCTCCGCCCCTTCCATCCTAATCTCAAAGTCCAGCCGGTGGGTGAGCAGTTGGAGCCCTTCCTCCGAACTGTTTCCAGAGAGATTTGCTTCCTGACTAAGAGACATGACTCTAGCCTGGAGACATTTGCCAAGAACTTTGCACCTGGAGACTTCCTCTCCCAGGATCCGAAAGAAGTGTCCTCTGAGCGGTGAGTGGAGACCAGGGAGTCGTGGGTCAGTAGAGGCCAGTGAGCGAGAAGGGCTGTGTTCTGGAAACTGTTGCCTAGAACTCTGGAATGTTAGACCTGACTGGGGTCTTAGAGACAGGCCATCTAACACAGATCCAATGCCCCCCTCTCACATCCAGTAGTTTTCAATGCCCCTTCTGTCATAAAATGAAATTCATGGATAATAAAACCTGACTATACACACTTTCAAAATAAAAGCAGCATGACACCTTAGCTGTAATATAAAGAAGAAAAGAAAGAAAAGCAATTTAAAGTAAAATGTTAAATGCAATATAGAGGTATTAGCTGTAATATAATGAAGAAATGAAAGAAAAGCAATTTAAAGTAAAATATTCAATGCAATATAGAGGTATTTAAGGTTGACAACTTTAAAAGACATAAGGCATCCTCACGTATTTCCACCAGGCCCCCAGGAGGAGACTGACATTGAGAAGTGCAGTCATTTACCCAGGGACACCCAAGAAACTAGAACGCAACCCTGAGCCCTCCGCTCCCACTCAGGCTCTTTTCTGTCTCCAGCAGGAACAGAAAACATCAGGAGACTTGGTGTAGCCAGCCATTAGTGCATTCATGTATTATGTCGCATGTGCTTGTCATTTTCACATGTATTTTGTTTCACTAGAACCCCACCACCTCCTTACCAATTTCCCTCATGCAAACATGAGCATAGGTAGCTAGCTGCATGTTTATGTGCCACAGTGTAACTCTATGCCTCCCAAGCTCTAATCGGGAACAGGAAACCTTTTTCCATTTCCTATTATAATTAATTTTAATTTCATTTTCTCCTCATCTTTCCTTTTTTCTCTATTCTTTCTTCTTCTCCTATTTGCTTTTTATTCCCTAGACAATTGCAATTCCTTGAAACTTAATACATATATGATGCTTTAAATGATTGTCTCCTTTTATCTTCAACTGAACTTATCAGTGAGTACTATTACCCCAATTCACAGAAAAGGAGTCAGAAGAATAAAGAATAATTAAGAAATTTGATCAAAGTCAGAAACATAGAAGTAACAACTTAGGATTCAAAGCCATGTCTGCCTGCCTCCAAAGTCAGATGACTCCACCAGACCCTTTCTTGCTCTTCCTCCAGTCCTGATTGGAGCGCTCTCTTCCTCCAGTCATAGTTTTTTTTTTGCCAGAACTTCATTTAACCTCAACATTTTCTGAGAAAAAGCTAGAATTATATCCAGAGTTTTATGCTCAATAAGGAGGATGCTATGCTGAAAGTACCAGTTGTTGACAAATGAAAAAGTCCTCTCTACAGTCCCCTCCCCCTTTCTCTTCCTAACCCATGATGGTTGTGGAGCTGAGCTGATGATAGTAGCAGGTGTCTTAGAAATGGCAGGTGAGGCTTGGTGCCTAGAGATGCTGATCAATTCATCAGGGACTCTTTATCATAGCTCTGCCAAGGAAACTACAGAGGAGAAGTAATCTTGCAAACCCATGCCACATATACATGAATGTCATACTTTTTACCTAGCTTTTCAAAACGCTTTGGGGCTTTATTTCTACTTTCTTAGGTACTGTATCTATCTATCTATCTATTTATCTATATCTATCGATATAGATAGATATCGATATAGATAGATAGATAGATAGATGATAGATAGATATAGATATAGATAGATATAGGTATAGATATATGCCTGCTTATGTTTGTTCATCTAAACACACACTCATTGAACACACCAAGCTGTGTGCAAAATATATACCTAATCAAAACTATTTGAGTACAAGAAATTCCAGTTAAAATGGCAGAGTAGGTAAACATTGTGCTGGCCTCCTCCTGGGACCACATCAAAATTGAAAATAAACTATAGAACAACCATTATTGAGAATCGCCCAAAGTCTAGATGAACAGAAGTCCTGTAACTAAGAATGACGCTCCGTGTTCATGGATTGGAAGAATCACCATAGTTAAAATGGCCATATTACCCAAAGCAATATACAGATTTAATGCAATCCCAATGTCATTTAAAAAAAATAGAACAAAAAAATCATCAAACTTCTATGGAATCACAAAAGACCTGAATAACCACAGCAATCCTAAGAAAAAAAGAACAAGGCTGGAGGTATCACACTCCCTGACTTGATACTACAAAGTGATAATAATCAAAACAGAATGGTATTGGCAGAAAAACAGATGCAGAGACCAATGAAATAGAACTAAGAACCCAGAAATAAACCCACATATATATAAACAGATCATTTTCAATACAGGAACTAAAAACATACGATGGAGGGGGGAAAAAAACCTCTTCAATAAGTGGTGCTGGGAAAATTAGAAAGCCACATGCAAAAGAATCAAACTAGACTGCTATCTGTCATCGTATACCAACTCAAAATGAATCAAAGGCCTAAACATAAGACCTGAAACAATCAATTGCACTGAAGAAAGCATCAGTACTAAACTTATGGACCTTGGGTTCAGAGAGGATTTTATGAATTTGACCTCAAAGGCAATGGAAGTAAAAGCAAAAATAAATAAATGGGGCTATATCAAACTAAGAAGTTTCTGCACAGCAAAAGAAATCATCAACAAAACAGAACGGCAACCAACTGAATGAGAGAACATATTTGCAAACAATGCCTTCGATAAGGGGCTAATATCCAAAATATATAAAGAACTCATACAACTCAACAACAAAAAAACAACCAAATTAAAAAATGTGCAGATGAGGGCTGGCCGAGTGGCATGTTGGTTAGGCGTTGGCTTGAGATGCCAGCTCTGAGCAGCAGGGCCCCAGTTCGGATCCCACATGAGGGCCAGTGACGATGCGCTCTCTACAACTAAGATGGTGAACAACAGCTCAACCTGGAGCTGGGCTGCCATGAGTCGCTGGTGGCAGCACAGGTTGCAGTCGGTTTGGCCAGCAGCAGGCGTGAGCTTTCATGAGCTGCCACGAGCCGCCGTGAGCGGCCATCCAATGGCCAGTGAGTGACTGCCTCACCTGGGAAGAGCACAATGACAATACCAACATGGGCCAGTGAAGCGACGTCCTCCACAACTCGACTGAAGAACAAAAAAGGACAGCAACTTGTCTGTTCCCCTTCCCCGATTCCCCAATGCTGTTCCCCAACGCTGTTCCCCTCCCCCAATTCTCCAATAAAATCTTTTAAAAAAAATGTGCTGATAACCTAAACAGACACTTCTCCCAAGAAGACATACAAATGGCCAACAGATATATGAAAAAAATGTTCAACTTCATTAGCTATTAGGGAAATGCAAATCCAAACCACAATGAGATACCACTGCATACCTGTTAGAAGGGCTATTATCAACAAGACAAGTAATAACAAGTGCTGGAGAGGCTGTGAAGAAAAAGGAACCCTTAAACACTGCTGCTGGGAATGTAAATTGGTACAGCCACTATGGAAAACAGTATGGAAGTTCCTCAAAAAATTAAGAATAGAATTATCATACAACCCAGAAATCCCCCTTCTGGATACCTACCAAAAAATTCGAAAACATTTATCCATAAAGGTATTTGTACGCCTATGTTCATTGCAGCATTATTCACAGTGGCCAAGACATGGAAATACAGTGTCCTTCAACAGATTATTGGATAAAGAAGATGTGGTATGTATATACACAATGGAATATTATTCAACCATAAAAAAAGATGAATACGGCATTTGTGACAACATGGATGGATCTTGAGATTATCATGCTAAGTGAAATAAATCAGACAATAAAAGTCGAGAACCATATGATTTCACTTATATTTGTATGTGGCATATAAAATTGAAAGCAACAAATGAACAAGACAAATAAACAAAAAATCATAAACACAGACAACAGTTTAGTGGTTACCAGAGAGTAAGGGGAGGTGGGGTGGTAGAAGAGGATAAAGGGGGTCAAGTGCATGGTAATGGAAGAACTGATTCTGGATGATGAACATACAAGGAAATATGTAGTTTATGTATTATAGAATTGTACACCTGAAACCTATATAATTTTAGTGACCAATGTCACCCCAATAAATTTAATAAAGATTAAAAAATAATGATGGAAACTTTCCTAAATTAGCAAAGGAAATAGACATACAAAGCTAGGAAACTCAGAGAGTCCCAAGCAAGATGAACCCAAAGAGGCCCACATCACGACACATCATAATTAAAATGATAAAAATTAAAGACAAAGAAACAATCTTAAAAGCAGCAAGAGAAAAGCAGTTAGTTACCTACAAGGGAGCTCCCATAAGACCACCAGCTAATTTCTCAACAGAAGGCATGAAATATCCAAAGTGATGAAAAGTAAGGACCTACAACCAAGATTACTCCACCTTGCAAACCTATCATATGGAATTAAAGGACAGATAAAGAGCTTCCTAGACAGGAAGTTAAAGGAGTTCATCACCTCCAAACAAGTATTACAAGGAATGTTAATGGGACTTCTTTAAGACAAATAAGAAAGAAAGAAAAAATAAAGAAAAAAAGGATTAAAAACAAATAAAATGGCAATAACTACATATCTATCAACAACTACTTTAAAGGTAAAGGATTAAATGCTCCAATTAAAAGACATAGGGTGATCTTTAGTGACTTATAGACAGTGGTAAATATAGAAACATGAATTCAGCACACAATACATTTCTCTCAAACAGGAAGAATCAAAAAATGTTTTTCAGTGTGTTCTTTGCTCCCCTGGAAGCCAGAGTCCCAAATTCATGAACTGATTTTGTTGCCTTCCTCTGCTTTGGTCCCCCATGAGTTTTTCAATGTTTTAGTGACTTAGTCCATAGACTCTTAATCCATATTTTGAAGCAGATTCTCCAAGCAAGTCCCTAAAACTTTGTCTGCATGTTCATAATAACTGAGAACTGTAGATTTTAAGATACATAGGTACCTGTTTGTAGCAACAGGTACAAAAGAAAAGCAGAGCAGGTGGAACATGAGAGAATGTGTTTTGCACATAACTTCAAACAAATACTGTGAACATGTCCTGTGAGTGTCCA